TTCCGATGTTACTGTTTATTTGCAAGCCTCTCAGTACATATCAGATCAAGTACAAAATGCTTCATACACTATGTAGATAAAAAGTTCCCCCTTGTCCTGATGTTAATGTTTACTAGCCATCCCCACGGTACATACCAGATCAGCCCGCCCCGGCACCGTGTGAGATAAGCCCGCGGCGCGAGGCGGCTGATACCTCGGTAATTACCGACATGCTGGCCCGCCGCTCAGGAATCCCTGCCCGCTACATTATCTGGGTTGGGTTACCGCCCGACATCTATCATTCTGGCCTAGCCTAGCCTCTACAGGGCACTGCCGATCGCTAGGAAAATAATAGACATTGGCCAAAAATAAAGATACATGTAATATTATATACCCTGTATAGAATGGTATAGAATAGTATACCCTGTGGGTAGCAAAATTTACCCTCTCTGGCCGGCTAACTCCCCTGGTATACTATTCTCTTTATTTTGGTCGATTTCTAGTTCTACCACTTTTCCAGCGATCCGCGGTGTCTGCTTGTTGTCTCAACCAGACTAACACCACAGGTTCAGAATAAAAGGAATATGTAGCTACATATATAGGGACGATGCTATATTGTTGATTCAACTTACTATGTAAAGGAATAACAGGAAAATATACATTGTGCTAATAATGATACATAATCGCCTTTAAACATTGTGTGTGTTACAATAATATACAACTACTTATAATTATTGACTCATGCATACATGATATGGCAAACTATTGTTAATTGTGGGAAAGAATTTGTTGTATATTCGGTTATCAAAATACCACATGGTCTAATTACTTTTCAATGCTGTATATTTGCAGGTTTTGAAATGAGAGTATGCAGTCTTTGACAGGAAGCCAGAATCTACTACGTTTTGGGGTGAGTTCTTCTTTAAAGACAGTCAAGATCTAGTTGGTTCTTGGAAGAAATCTGGAGATAGTTATCACAATTGTTTGGTATCTGATTCAGTTTTATTCAATCGATAAAATTAAAAGTGATATACGAAAAGAAATTACACTAGTTACAAACATAACTTACCCGTCTGAAAGATTTGCTGTACGGTATTATTTCAATAGTTTGTACTAAATGATATTTTCTATAACGTTTTCTTCGCATCTTATGTTTTGTGTGTCTGGACTCTTGTAGACTGTTGAATGCTTTTGGAAAAATGTATATACTAGTCATATATATACTGTGCTAGTATGATACATCTGGTAGTCTCGTGGAATTAATTGTTAAGGATAGAAGAACCCTTTGCTTTTAGCATACATGAAAGAACACACCGAAGTAAAATTGTAATATTTCTATACTTTTTTTTTTAAATAAAAGCAATAGCAGGAAGGCTTCCATGTCTTTAATGGGTACGCGGTGTATATTGTATAGATAGTATACCTTATGATTACTAACGGTTAAAGGCTTACTACTACTACTACTACTACTACTACTACTACTACTACTACTACTACTACTACTACTACTACTACTACTACTACTACTACTACTACTACTACTATGGTTTATGACAAAAACGCGGGAAAACGCACCACACAAAACTAGGTTTACGTCCCTTTTAAAAGTCTTCGCCACACTCTTGTACACGAGGTATTAGTTGAGAGAGACATCGGATGGCGCTCTATCTCTTTATCTCTTTTTTCTCTCGGAGATTTACAGCATTGCGTGCACGAAGATGTGCCCTGACGTCATCTGTACGATGTAAACAAACCCGTCAACAGTAAACAAAATCTGTCAGACGTCGCATCAATCCGGTCCTGAAGTGTTCTAGACGTAAACTGTAGGGAGCCAGCAGCTAACACTGTCTGGCGGGCCATGTCAACATCGGCGTGATAGAGCCGGAAAAACTACGCATGTAAAATATGACAACACATTCTTAGGATAGGAACACATGTATGTATAACCTCGCGTTCACTGTTTAAAACAACGTTGCATAGACGTAAAACGTACTACGTTGCAAAGTCGTACTGTCAATTGAGACTTTTTTTGTCTCAATATCGGTCTACTGGAGCCGGAAAAACTCCTCATGTAAAATATGACAACACATTCTGAGGAATGTTCACATGTAGTATAAGAGGGACCTAGCGTTCACTGCATAAAACCAGTGATAAAACAACGTTGCCAAGTCGTGCTGAAAATTGAATTTACATGTAATTCCGGCGTACTGTAGCCGGAAAAACTCCTCATGTAAAATATGACAACACATTCTTACTAAGAAACACATGTATGTTGCCTCGCGTTCACTGTTTAAAACAACGTTGCAAAGAAAGTCGTACTGAAAATTGAGACTTTTTTGTCAACATCGGCGTACTGGAGCCGGAAAAACTCAACAATGTATCAATTACGGCGCACTGTAGCAGGAAAACATATATGTTAAGTATGAAAACACATTCTTAGAAACACACACGTTTTAAATAAGAGGGACTTCGTATTTACTGCTTTCAAGACGACGTTAAAACATTGTGCTGCTGTGTGAAAATTGAGACTTTTTTCTGTCTAAATTTCTCATACCCAACTCTCTTCTTTTCTTGGAATACGTTTAGAGTTCCAAATGTAACGCATGTTTAGTGATCACATGTATATTTCACCCATGTAACGCAGTTCGACACATACAACACGAATTTGGGCACAAACATAAAACACTGTTACAAGATGACCTACACACACACACGGAATAAAACATGTAAAACTGTACGACTTAGACAATTTGGACGGTCTTACTCTGCATTTCCGAGCTTTACTCAATTCACTCACGAACCTGATAATATATAAGCCACCTCTCATGCACTATACACATAGTAGTAAAGGTCTCTCTACATGTACAAACCGTCCCTCCGTAGCCACTAAGCTGAGCCTGTTACCGCTGACTGCATTCCAAAGCCGCTCTATACAGTAGGTTTAACCCTAGCACCCCCAAATTGTTTGTCTTGTTAGGGAAACTGTGTCTAACATGAGCCAAGTGTTTGTTGATTCTAACTCCCCCTGCGAAAACACTTGTAACCTATGGAGTCTTGGCTGAGCGGTGCGGTACATACTGATGGCCTGATGACGACAAAAACGGGCGATGAAGACAAACACACACGAACACACCAAAACTCAGTTACTCAAGCAACTGGATATGATTTTGGAAACGGTCAGACGTTTCAGGTAGTATCCACTACCTTTCGACATCTAAGAGACCAGAGGAGAAATGCAGGTTTATAAGCACGAACTATTGATTGATATGCACACACACTCCTGTCTTTCTGTGGATTGATACAAAACAATAAATCTACATTTATGTCGCCCAGGCTTCATGTTGTGGAATCATCATACATATATTTGTGTGTATGTGCCTTTATAAATGTTTAATTTCGCCAATCTTGGTACGTACATTAGGCGCACTTTCAAAGAGAATTTTTGTCTCTGACGGTCGATATCTCTGCCCATAAAAATAGGTTAATCATGCTATTCCTCCGTGGGTTGGGATAGATCGTAAGTCAATTTGGGAATACTTATCCTCCTTATTGGATTGTAAACCCTGCACTTCACCCGGACAACCTTTTAGCACTATCTCATATCGATCAGGATTAGAAAAAGATCATCAATTAGCCCAACACTGCCGGTCCCTTTGGAATAACTCTTATTACACTGATTGATGCAAATTAAAGCTTGATTTTATATAGAGGGGACAAAAATATACTATAGAGTGCAGTACTGTATTTCGTAATGCATGTACTTGTACTGTAAATGGAAAAAGAAGCTATGTCTAGTATCATTTTGGAATGGTAAACGGTTGATTGATGTAAATTAAAGCTGGATTTTTATATAATATAGAGTGGAAGAACTATATAGTATTACACTGTTTCAGTGTACATTTACTGTATTTTGTAATGGCTGCAAGTGGTAAAAGAAGCTATGTCTAGTAGCATTTTGGAATGGTAAACGGTTGTGCGAATTAAAGCTTGAATTTATATAGAGTGGACAAAAATATTATACTATAGAGTGCAACATTGTTTTAGTGTGCAGTACTGTATTTCGTAATGCATGTATATGTACTGTAAATGGTAGAAGAAGCTATGTCTACTAGAATTTTGGAATGGTAAACGGTTGTGTGCGATATAGTTGCCGTGGTGTAGGATTACAAAAGGTTTGAGGGCATACATTACTAGTAGTATTTTTGATTGGCACGATTGCAAGAAATGTTATACAGCTAGTAAGCAACAGAGCAACTTCTTTACTCATAGTAAAATAACGCTTTTAAACAAACAATTTTCTACTCCAACAATAAGTCCGCTAGCAAATAAAAAGTATTGCTTCGGATGAACGAGTTTAAGCAATTTTGCAGGTGGTAAATTACATCAAATTGTAGGCAAAAATTCTCGGTCTTCATGAGACAAGTTCACTGTACATTAGAGCGGCAAGCCCCAAACACATGGCGACGTTTCCCCACACAAAAGGCTGGCGAACAATGGAGGCGCACAGTCGGGAGATAAAAATGTCTTCCCTGCAGCTAATGTGTATGATAGTAATCTCGACTCCCGTCTGAACCAAACAAAGGGGAGAGCAGATCCGTTGAGCTGGCACCGCATTCACTCTCAGAGGTCAAGGCACGAAAAACGACCAGAGTAACGAATCATAGCCTCCATAGCACGCCAAAAACTGGGGGTCTTCAGGATCTTTTATGTGCTATTTTCTGATTGCATATAGACAACATAGCCGGTCTGGTTTACCCCCGTTTTAGAACTGGGCTAATCAGAAAACAGCCGAAGCCCACCAAACCCCCAGTTCTATAAGCCTGCTCCGGAGACTAAACGAATCATAACATTATGTTTTCGTGCCGCTTTTTCTCTCACACAACAAAGTCGTTTTCGCGCCTTTTTCTCTGACACACAACCACTTCTAGCTGTTGTCTATGCCTTGTAGTAGTTTGTCTGTGTACATTCAAAGGGTTATGTACTAGTTACTTTGAGAGAAGGACCACAAAAGACACACTTGAACGAAATCAGAATGAAACATCTCAGCGTGTATTTTTGGTGTGACAGTTAAAAAGCCGCAGGATAAAAATGGCAGACGTGACCAGGAGATGTAGCGATACAAAAGCTCGGTTTGTGTAACTACATAACAAGTGTATGACGAGTTTTATGTTTCGCAGGTTCTGTTAAACCTTTACAAAAGCGTTGGAGAGAATCCGCACTAAGCTCAACTTAATGCCAAGCAGTTTAAATCTGCGAGAAAAACAGTTTCTAACTAATAACTATAAAAGTATGAAACTAACTATAACATCGCATTTTTGTGAAGCAAAAGTAAGCATTTCACAATCGTCGTTCTTCAAATAAATACTATAAATCTGTACATATATTTTGTAAACACTTAATAGTAACTATAATTTTTTTACTAAATGCCTATATTTTTTACACAAAGAAAAGTACAAAAATAGGACTTTTATGAATCGTTCCACAGTTCCGAATGGCATATAAAGTTGGTCACTGAATATACACTGCTAAATAATCTTGGAAATGAATGCAGTATGGTGTTTGTAGACTCATACCAAAAACAAGGCTAGCCCGAACAAGCATCGAAGGAATCTTCACAAAACGGCATTTGATTCCAGTATAATCTCTCTTTCTTTCAGTCTTCAGCGGTATATAGATATCTCTATACATGTTTCAGTTTGTGTCCTGCAAAAAGCGTCGTTTCCCCACGCCCGTCTAGTTCCACAGAAAGGCTTTTAGCGTTTTCGACGTTTGGGAAGGAGAGGACATGAGTTCGTAGTGTTTTTATCTTGGGGAAACTCTTACTGGCTACACGCTACGGAAACGTTTCTTACCCACCACGGAAGAGAGTCTTTCAGTGCCGACCGACTGTGGGGTCTGTCCTCTCTACATATCCGTTAGCTCGTTCTCTCCTTTCTCTCTGGAGTTACTTACAACATTTCCTCTCCGTGTGTGGTTTGCCGTAGAAGCTTCTTGAAGGCGCGTATCCTCCTTCTTGTGCTCAAGGCCAGCTTGGTTTCTTTAAGATGCGAAGCACAGTTCTTGTAGTTCCCAAAGTAGACGTAGCAGGTTTTGGTGATATTGTACAAGTTCGTTTCTCAAGGCTTGAGTTCCAACGCCCAAACGTGCTGCGGCCAGCCCGTTCTTCCCTTCGACTTCTTCTCGCTCTTGATACTAGATTGTAAGATGGAGCCCTGCAGAGGAAGGAAAAGAAAGCGTTAATCTTTAGTACGATGCGTAAATGAAGGTTAGACATACAGGTAATGAGATACCAACATTAACGTTACACAAGCAACTGGATAGATCTTCAAAACGGCCAGACGTTTCAGGTAGCATCATCTACGCACTAGTCACTGACGAAAAGTAGTGGATGTTACTTGAAACGTCTGACAGTTTTCAAAATCTATCCAACGAAGGTTAGACATCCAGGTAATGAGATACAAAAGTAACAGTTGCTCAAACAACTATATATATATATATATATATATAGGTAGCATCCACTACTCCAGTCACTGACGAAAGGTACTAGATGCTGCATGAAACGTCTGACCGTTTTCAAATCTATCCAGCTGCTTGAGTAACGTAACTGTTACTTTAGTGTCTTCGGTACAATGTATTGAAGGGAAGTAGTACGTGAGCTAATTTGCGTGGCTGTGGCCCAAACCACAAAGGTGAGGCAATAATGACTTCAGAAGAGACACCGACGTCTCTGAGAAATTGATGAAAGCATCGCTGATGACTAACATTTTTGTCTCATGGCTTCCTTTTTGCTACCTCTTATTATTCTCAGAAAGAATGTACTATCGCTTATAAGCATAACAAGCTATGTATGAAAGTATCTACGTTTCCTGAATGTATGTTGTATGTATAGAAACAATGAGTGGTGTTTTACTCCAAAGCGTTTTTAACTTTATTCTTTATCATACAAATGACAATAATGCAGTTTTGTATTGGTTCGTAGTAGCCAGTAGCTTTTTCTCCTTGATGAAAGAATTGCAAAAAAGGGGTTTAGGTCAAGAAGATATTAAACATGGCTGCACTAAAGCATATTTTGTCTATCTGAGTTCCACATCTCGAGCATTGGCTGTACGGGATTAGCGAACAATTCTGGTCCTTTCTTTGCAATTTCACGGTATTTGGGCGATCCTTCTTTTACTATAAAAGACTTGGGAATGGCTTACATGTCTTCAAAGTAAGTAGCAATATGTGTGTGAAGAGAGAGAGAGAGAGAGAGAGAGAGAGAGAGAGAGAGAGAGAGAGAGAGAGAGGAGAGACAGACAGACAGAGAAAGAGATCGTAGAACTAGAAGCTTTGGATTGGGCAAAAACTGAGCGAAACGGTTGGGCTGCGAATTACCTCTTTTGTGTAGTATCTACAGACACAAGCTTGAACATCACAGAATCCTCTCCAAGGGAATCAAACTTTAAACAGTAATATCATAATCCTAACAAATTTAGACAAGCGTGAACAGTATGTATGTAATGTCATTGTTACACTGCACGTCTTTGTCTGTTGAATGGTCCAGGGCACATGTGTGGTCAATTTTGTCACCTACGTGTCTTCATATCTTTCTCGGGTATATGTATAAAATACACTGCGTAGGTTCAGTTGTATGTTGAGGCGAATTTTGTGTAATTTTACACTTATACATAACACACGTATACCTGACAAAGGTTGGTTACCTAATATTTCTGGGGACATGCTTGTGGTCAATTTTGTCAGCTACGTGTCTTCATATCTTTTCTCGGATATATGTGTCAAAGATACTGCGTAGGTTCAGTTGTACGTTGAAGCGAATTTTGTGTAAGTTTACATTTGTAAAACATACATATAACTAACAATGGTTGGTTACCTCATATTTCTGGGGACATGCATGTGGTCAATTTTGTCACATACACGTCTCAATATCTTTCTCAATATATAATATGTGTCAAAGACAGTGCGTAGCTTTTCTACAAGTTGAACGGAATTTTGTGTAAGTTTTTATTAGTCTAGTGAAACACAGTATCTAACCAACAACAACAACCGTTTGTTGCACCAACAGACGTCTTTCTGTGAAATGACTGATGATATCAGACACAGCGGGACAACAACAAACCCCACACGCAAAAGATAAACAACAAAAATAATAACCCCTCCCGAATCGTGTGTGGCTTCTCGTCAGTGGCCCTTTGGGGGGCGGAGAAGTTGTCCTAACCGACGCCCCACCCCGACCCCAACGTCCCCTAATATTTCTACAACTAGGAGCGCCACCATTTTATATTACAACACACCCCTGGTCTTACTACCAAGGACCTTGCATACCCCTACCGCGTGCCAAAGTAAAAAGAAAGACAGAATCTACAGTGGGAAAAAGACGTACTGAAATCGCAACAATAACTCAAACGTGAGTGTTCTTAAATAAGGCGCTATCTTCAGTCAATCTATCTGTAAAGAATTAAGCACTCGTGATTAGCGGCGTCGCTGCTATCAGTGGGTCTCCATTGAAAGATGGCTGACAAAGTCGACCATATGTTCCCTCTCTAGTTTATACGCTGTATGATATTACAGACCCACTCTCCCCGTGGATTCCGACTATCTAGCGTATAATCCCGCACACTAAGAACCAATTAGTACAGTTTCTGTAATCTGGAAACGCAGGAAAATTAATTTTTAGAAAGGACTTTTGCTCTTTACATGACAATATCCTCCTGGACCTAAAACTGTATGTGAGCGCTCTTATCGTGACTTGACTCTTTTTGTCCACGTAGCTCAATTTCACCAGATGAACGTTTCAACTCACACACTGGTATATTCTTCCTTTCTTCGCAACAAGCACAAAAAATACGTTTAATATCATCAAAACATAGACCACCATAACGCAAGCTACAATTGTTTATAGATCATAACATAACCTTATGAAATTGTGTCGTTTTATGACAGGGTATTTGTATCATTTTGTACAGAATCTCAATCGTTTTCAAAAAGGTGGTTTCAAATATTATTTTTAAAAGGGGTGTACCTTATCTCTGTAAGCTTTCAAGTACATCTGATGGTTATTTCCGCCTTTTGTGTTTTTCTAGAATGCTTGATGAAGATACAACAATCGCTCTTTCAGCCTTTCATGACCAGATATATCTCTATTATAGAACTCTCATTCAACAAACAGGCTTTTAAACATTACACACACATGATTTCCTGGTGCTAAAGGTTTGACTATCTTTTGTTTGGGGCGGAGGGACATTTTTGTGGCTTCTTGTGCAATTTGCCGAGCAGCCATTAGAAGATGCCATGCGGGTTAGAACATACACCCACCACAAGCGCACACCCAAGCAGGCTCCGAAACCGTTCACGCACCAGACACGCACCGGGTGTTTTTCCACGAACAGACAGTTGTTTATGCCCCCAAATCCTCGCCATAAATGAGTGTAAACCCGACGTTTTATTAAATGTGGAAGTTGTAAAGCATTTGTGCGTGTTTATTGGGAAAATACGACCCTTTCCGCCGTGGGGTATGAGTCACCTTCAGTAGGAGTGACGACACACGCACGCAGTCCGCCATGCTGTGTGTGTTTACATTTTTCACCGGCCAACCCACAAGTCCACTCTACAACCCGACATCAGGTACTACAAGAACTACCCAACATGATTTCTATGGGATATCCTTTATAGAAGGATACCTGAAACTTGCATGTTTTCTATTCACAATACTTGAATGTTTTGTGTAAAGGATACACAGAAAATTTCAGGCTTGTGTCATGAAAATAGTGTGTCAGTTTCAGTGGAGTAGGAAGGTGTCTATATATCTTTTATGGAAGTAGAAGGAGGTAGAAATTTGTACAAATAAAATTAAAAAGGAGCTTGGAAACTTACCATGTCTTCTCGTCTGCTGTCGTCCCGTGAGTCCATCTTTTTCAGGTCGGCCTGGAAGCCCGAAGCGTCCCCGGTGCCCGTCCCTTGACCCTCGGGCTTGTTTAGTACGTCCATGAGGTAGGCTATGTAAGACGTCGCTAGCCTCAGTGTCTTGATCTTAGACAGTTTCGTGTCGGCTGGGACGTTGGGGATCCGATCTCTGAGTTCCGCGAACGCCGAGTTGATGCTCTGCGTTCTCCTCCTCTCCTTCTTGTTGGCGGAGCCCCTGGGCCGCTTGAGCGGCGCGCCGTGGTGGTGGACCCCGTTGAGGTGGTGCCCGTGGTGGTGGTGATGGTGGAAGCCGTTCGGCGGGGGAAACGTCTCGTGGCCCCGATGGTGGCGGGTGGGATAGTCCGGCGGGCTGACGGACGGGCTCGACATCGGGCTGTAGCCGTTGACGGAGTACTGGTCGGGCGACATCGGGGAGAGCTCGGTGGCCTGCGCGGCGAAGGCCCAGCCCGTGTAGGTGTAGGGGGAGTCCTCTGGGCGGCAGGGGCCGGGCGGGAAGGCCGGGTAGGGCTCGCCGTGGTGGTGGTGCGAGGCCGTCACGGGATGAATCGCGTAACCTCCGACCAGACTCATCGCGACTTATCCTAGCACTAAACCAGCGCACAGCGTACTTAAAATCCTTCCTTTTCTATATCACAAGACTAAAATATCAGCAACGTCCAAGCATCAGCTGGCAGCAGGAGGAAGTCGTTTGCGGCGACGGGACTCGCGGATGAAGAGGAGATGTCAGCAGCGCACGTCCGTCCTGACTCCAGGCTAAGCCTCCCTACTGGTACTGGTGCATGGGACGTCAGGTACGGACTGATTCAGCAACCAACAGGATTCCCCTAGCGGCGGCGAACGGAACTGCAGCGTTAGAACTTGTCTATATGATCACCATGTACAGATACAACGACTGAAGAACATCGGAATGGTTGGTTGGTCAGAACGTGCGGTGGTCAGATCAGATACTAGAGGACAACAGGAGGTCCTCTCTCTTAGCCTCTCTCGACCCCGACTGAGCTGTGACGGCTCGCTGACGTGTTTTATAGGCGGGAGGGAGGGAGGGTTGGTTGGTTGTGCGGAGGGGCAGGGCCGGGTCACGCCGCGGTGTGTGAGTGACGACCCGCGATGACGCCGTCTCCTGCCGCCCTCCACAGTCGCCAGTCTACAGCTACAGCCCTGCACACTCACGCGAAAGAACCCGGATGCAGCCGGGCCGCTGCGGCTGGGAACTGCGATGGAGGGTCCGTCGCAAAAGTTTCGTGTCATGTCAAGCCAAACTTTTATTTTTAAGTTTTCAAAATTTTCCTTTCCTAGAACTATCGCAGAGTGGAACTCGCTGTAGTCACCAAGTACAGTAGGGGCATTGTCATTAGATAGCTTTGAACAGTGTTTAGAGTTAGATGTTCAAGGGTAAGGTGTAACAAGTCGTTCGGTGTGATGTAGCCAGCTGCCGCCGTGCCGCGTGCCTGCGAAGCTATACAGATACAGATACAGACAGACTTGTATTACTCTCCAAGCTGAGGTTTAGGTTTCGACTTTTTTTTGGTGTGTTTTATGCGTTTTTATCGGGCTCTCTTTTTTGTACTGGTAACTTTTTTTTTACTCCAGCCTTGGGTGAGAAATGGTAACTGCCTGGCAAACCGCCAATTTGATACTGTCTTTGCAGCCACCGAAAGATCTGCTTTGAGATTATAAACTTATGGCAAGTTCTTAGGCAGTACTACATATCAAGACTCATATTTACGTCATTGACTCTAACAATGCTAAGGAGTTCTACATATCTTAATAAGACTTAAATACTGCGCTGTTTTATATTAGAGATACAAAACATACATGTAATTTGTAATCCCTGTAATCTGTCGCACATCTGCAGAACAAACTGGCGGCGAAGGTTTCCTTTAATTTTGTTCTTAACCTCTTTGAGAAGCCGTCGCGGTTTTTTACCTGCCTTTAATAACGATTACGAGAAGCTAATAGTGATTGCTTTTAATTACTAATTTCAATACTAATTGTTTGCACGTGGGGAAGGCTTAGAAAAATACTTGTAAACATATCAAAAGACAGGCTAGAACTGGGTAAATTTCGAACCGCATTTCCAAGAAAGTTCTCGAATTACTGCAAGACTTGCTTGCCCGTACGCTATTTTTTTTTAGACTGCGTTGACAAAGAACATATTAGTTAGGAAAAGGCACGAACATTTATATAGCACTTACCTAGCATAAAGATACTGTAGACTGTAAAGTAAAGAAAAGTGTGCAAACAAAGCAATAACGTTATATCGATGAACGGTAAGACATCCATGTAATGAGATACTGAAGAAAACAGTTACTCTAGCTTTTGCCAAAAAGTAGTGGCTGCCACTTGAAATGTCTGACAGTTTTCTCGAAATCTCTCCAGTTGCTTGAGTAACTGTTTTCTTGAATAACGTATTACACTATGTGAAATAAAGACTAAACTTTAACTGCCAACACAACAATGAATTGGGACTGCGTTTAGTCTTTATTTCATAATGACTTGTACCAACACAGATGAACTTTCACGCTAAACTACACTATGGTTATACGAAATGATTTCGTTAACGATCGAATTTGAACTTTCCGCCGAGGGGCTAAATCAATTTCCCCACTTAAATCTAAACCAACAATTACGTGCATTAGCGCCGGATAATAATGACAGGCGGCGTCAGCCCTCGCCATTGGCGGCATGGCCCCGCCTCTTGTTTACGCTTCGGCCCACTTGGCTAGCCTCCACAGCATGCCAAAAACTGGGGGTCTTCATGTTCTTTTTTTATGTGCTATTTTCTGATTACAAATAGACAACAAAGTTTAATTACCCCCGTTTTTTTAGAACTGGGCTAATCAGAAAACAGCCGAAGACCACGAACCCCCCAGTTCTATATAAGCCTGCTACGGAGGCTACCACTTGGCGCGGGAACACCAACGACCGGGCTTGTTTACTTTAGTAATTGCGCCCAGTGCTTGGGAGACTGGTGCGAACTCGTGGGTGGCTGGCGGGGGGTGAGTTGTCTCTACCTAGTCTCCACCAGACTCCTTTTGCAGGCTAGATAAATCGCAGAAATCGGCTGCTGGACCCTCTATGACCGGCTACCTTATCTGGCCAATTAAAAATACAATTTTTTTGCCGATTTCTACGATTTATTCAGCCTGCAAAAGGAATTTGGTGGAGACTAGTCTCTACCAGCAACATACAACGCTGGTTCAAAAGGTTCAAAAGGAGGAAGAAATTTAGCCAAATTGGGAGAGAAATTTGTTCTCCAAACAGAGGGTTTTTTTTCCACTGCTACATGTATCTTTTTATGCCTACCCACTCAACCCCGTAAAAAGATTTTAAAAAAAAGTGAAGATACCAGTGCAAAAAAGAAAGCCCGATAAAAAAGCCTATTAAAAAAACACGCCCAAAATAGCCTCTATCAGGCTTTGGGAGGCGGCCAGAACAAGTAGAAATCGGCCAAATAGAGAGATAGCATGCCAGGGGAGTTGGTCTGCTAGAGTACTCCCGAAGCCTGGTAGAGGCTAACGACATTAAAGAATGTTTCAATCTTAGAGATTACATGTTAGAGAATAGTTAAACCTTTAATGTTATCACTGATATATATAACGTTACACATGTATTCTTTACGTAGGATGAAGTTATCCATACATGTATTTAACTTTGTTAGATCTTAAGTTATAGAAGACCATACAAAAGTCCCTGTACGTTTTGGTGTGTCACTAAAGAATGTATTTGTAACGCCACAGAAAGGCCTGGTGGAGGCTAGAGGGTGGGCTGTAAAATCCCCGCCCCTAGCGCCACTCATGTAAACTGTGGCGGGCTTTTATCATCCTCGGAATCAGAGGATACCAATTAGACACTAACTTCTCTCAGCAATCTGGGGATGGGCATTTTTGTTACCCGCGGCAAATCCGATCACATCTCATAACAGGATTATGAGAATAGAATTTAGAAGATGATGAAAAATTACGCTATGATAAAGATTATTGTTAGATGAAGGGCTGTTAGTCGGAAATTTCTGTTCTGTCGTTGCATGGTTTTGATAGACATGTATGTGATTGTCGAATGTGATTCTCCTAAGAAAATAAGGGATGTCGTTATTTCTTGTCATTTTCATGACATTAAAGTAACACTCGTAGGGAAAGTGTACCTTGTCACCAATAGTTATGGAATTGATTTTTTTCTCAACTTTTATACTAGTATGATTTACAAAATGAATTGTAAGCGCGTTTTTTCTTTCATGCGGCCTATCTTGACTTCACATTTTTGGCACTGCGCCACGACATGTAGCGACTTCAAACAAAGCCAAGAACAACCAATGAAAAATGATAGTTTTCTTCGCATTCTTCGTTTACTATTTTTGACTACAAAACACAACACGCAAAGACAAAATCTACACGCACGAGACATCGGTTTGTATTTTAGGGTAAAAGCAACTCAAACCCCTTTGATATGGTAAAATCTCTAAACGACCGGCTAATTATCTATTTTAGACCGTCGCGCCTATCATAACGTTTTTGACACTAAGCCTCCAAATTCCTCTCACGAAAAAATAGAGACAAGACAAATCTCTTTGACAAGCCCATCACAGCTATGCATGTGTCTAGTAGTACCGGCCTGTGTCTCTCCAAAAACACCTTGCGTTTTCTTTTTGTCAGACAAACGCACAGAGACAAAAGTGGAAAGCGGTGGAGCTAATGAAAGGTAGATGTGCAAAAGATTTTGTCCTGAAGCGCTAGTTTCAAAAGGAAGATTGCGTACAAATTTGAACTAAACAAGCCAATATGTCGGCTGGTCGCTGTCGCCACTTCTTAATTGTATAATTGAATTGTGTGTCCCGCCGCCTCCAAGCCAACTACCCTCGTCTAGGGTTCCGCCGACTGCGGATGGTTACCGTAATCATTTCACGATGTGCTACGAACTCCTCTTACAATCTAGCCGGAGACACTTTGAAGGGCTCCGAAATGAGATTTAGGAAGAAAAGGAAAAGAAAGAAAACCTATTAGAGATTTCTTGGTAAAGTCCTTTTCGTAGACGCCGGAACATGAAAGGAAGGGAGTGATTTTTGTTGGCAATCAGGGACGAAGACGGGGTTAACCTGACCGACCCGAAACACCGGGGCTTCTGAGAGAATCCGTCGGGCGCTCGGTGTCACTCTGCCCGAGGGAAGTTCGGGGTTAGGCCGGTACTCGCCCGGTACGACCTTTAGGTTCCTTCCACCAAACAAAACAACTCCACATGTTTCTCAACATTTGCCTCAAGCAAAAACACGTTAACAGTTAAGATCTGAGATTGTAAATTATATTTCTAAGATATATTTCTACATCGATTGTAATAATGATACAGGTAGGCTGAATTTAGGCTCTTTTTCCTTTCAAAAGTCGTTTTTGTTTCATACCAATTCATCGTGTTTTCTTTTGTAATATGTCAATACATTTTTTTCTTACATTAGTAAAGCAACCTACATTATGGAGCTGTACTAGCAAATTTTGTGTCAATATGCCTCTTAAACAATTGCACCACGCTCTCTCGTGGCGGACACCATTATACTAGTTCTTACACATATTCATAAGTATATTCCTTTTCATAATGAAATTGCATTTTCATTAGTGTTCCCAAAACAATCTTTATTGACACAACAAAGGTACAGCTACTTTCGTAGGGTACTAGTATTCTACACCTATACAAACAAATGGATACAAATGAATTAGCCTACAATTTAAGTACATGAATAAATCAACATGTTGGTTTTGACATATCACGTATATTGCTAGTTTTAAGGTCTAAACATTCTTTGATATATGAAGCATATCAATCAATAGTCCGTGCGTATAAACCTGCTTTCTGAGAATTCTCGTGTCACTGACGAAAGGTAGTGGATGCTACCTGAAACGTCTGACCGTTTCCAAAATCATATCCAGTTGCTTGAGTATAACTGTTGTTTATTTTTTGGCGTATTTTATTACCTGGATGTCTAACGTTCACAGATGTATATCAAGGAGGTTTTCATAGAAAACGTCTTGGATATATTTACCTATTTGTATATAGTAGAGTAAGACATGTCAGTGGTACCACTATGGAGTCATGCCTTCAAGTACCAGAGGTGGCAATCCAAGGATTGAGGTGTTCAAGAATTCATTCTTTCTCATTCTTAGAACTACCGCA